TTCAAGCTGTCAGTATAAAAGTGCTTCGATTACGGTTGACGAAAGTGGTAACACAGAGAGACTGCAACGTTGGCGTGATTACGTTCAAAATGCGGCTACTGGTGGACAAATAATGTTTGCACTGCAAGTAAGTTTGAAATTTGGCCACTCACTTTGAGCCCTTTATTTTGATTCCAAAATAGTGTTTTTTTTTCTCCTATTGCGATGGAGATGGAAAGAAAAAGATAGCATTGGAGTAAAGGATGCTTGAAGTATTTCTCTGGTCTAATTATATGTATAGTCTACATAGGCGGACCCAGGAGGGCTTCCTGGGGGAAGGAGAAGAAAGAGGAGATTTGAACAATTTCCCTGTCCCCTTCCCCCTCTCGTCACTACATTGGGGGCCTGTATCTCTATCCCCCCTTTCCATTCACTGGTCGATCCTAAATGGCGGCGATGGCGGGAGGCAGGGGGGAAAAGAAAGTGAAGCCTAGGGGAGCGAGAGGGGGTATCGAAGAGAGTTTTCTACAGTAAAACAACTGCTACTTGTGCCACTGCTCCCCCACCGCCCCCGTTTCCTGGATCCGCCAGTGACAGCTTATATCGTATCTACTGTCCACCACTGCATCAGTATTCAACCGCGTTGCTGTAACATACGAACTGAATGTCCATGAATAATGCTCTGCGGCTTCTAAAATCAGCCTCTGCGCCGACCACATCAAACTCCCAAGTCGCTAAACGAACGCCATAGAGTATGAAAACTGCTTTTTGGGTTATTACTGAGACGAATCAAATTGGAAAAAATTAAATGTGATACGCAGTGGTCTCTAATATTTGAAGGCACTGGAATCGGCAGTCGCATGGGACAAGTCAATTATGCGAGCGAGATGTCAGATATGTCGAACGAGCGAAAACGATCCGTATCTTTTGATCTGTGATGGATGCGATTTGGCCTATCATACGTACTGCTTCCGTGTAAGTTTGAAAAATTATTTCAGGGATAATGAGTGATTCTTTGAAATACAGTAAACTGGGGAGAGAAAGATGTGGAATAATTTTTATGTGTTCGCGTTATAACAGCGATGCAAAACTTACTGTCAGGACCCTGTAAGGTGTGTATGTGTGTGTGTGCGTGTTCATATTTTTATTGAAGTTTTCAACTGAGCAACCTGTAAAACCAAGAAACTGGAATTTTAGGAGATATTCCCTGCCCATATGTGACCCTGAAAATTTAAATTCAGCCTTCACGTAAGCTTATGTCCAACTTACGAGCACAAAAAAAAGTTTTAGTGGAGAAATTTATTGATTCGGAAATAAGGCAAGTTAGAAAATGGAAATTTAGAGCACTGCTCCCCAGCAATGTACAACGCTGGAAATGTTATTTTAGCTTCCACAAATGCTTAGATCGTTAGAGACACATGAAAATTCTGGCAGAAATTTTTCATTTTGAGGGATAGGGACGATCGACAATGAA